AATTCTCCTGCCTCAGCCTCCTGAGTAGCTGGGATTACAGGCACGTGCCACCATGCCCAGCTAATTTTTTGTATTTTTAGTAGAGATGGGGTTTCACTATGTTGACCAGGATGGTCTCGATCTCTTGACCTCGTGATCCACCTACCTCAGCCTCGCAAAGTGCTGGGATTACAGGCGTGAGCCACCACGCCTGGCCCCCTGTGGCCTCATTTATAAAGGCATTGATCCCATTCATGGGGAACTCTTATGACTTAATCACCTCCCAAACACCCTACTTCTTAACATTATCACATTGGGGATTAGGTTTCAACATATGAATTTTGGGATGACACAAACATTCAGACCAATGCTATGGGTGTTTATGTGTCAGTTGACGTGTGCATGTATGTAAGGTAACTCTAACTATTTGTAATTGCCAGGCTGTTTTCTAAAGCAGATGCACCATTTAACAGTCTCATCGGCAGTGTAGGAGGGTTCCGATTTCTCTACATCCTCACAACATTTGTTATTATCTGTCTATTTGATTATAGTTGTCCTAGTAGGTATGAAGTAGTATTTCATTGTGGGGTTGATTTGCAATTCACTGATGTCACACTGCTGTTTGCCCTCTGTCCATCCACATTCTGTTAAGGCCCATTCTGCTGGTACATTTGCTCTGGGATGCAGTTTTGCAAGAAAACAGCAAGTTCCCTTTTAGTTGTTTTTTCAGAAATTATAGAACTCACTTACTTTATCATTGCTTTTGAGGCATAGTTTCAAACTGACACCCGGGGTGATTGTATCTCACCATTTTCATGCTCAGTTAGATGTCAAATACCTTTACGCTGTTCAGGGTCAGATTTCTACATAGGGCTCCTTTCCCCTAAGAGCAGGCTCTGTAAATAAAAGTAGTAAGAGTCAGTCCTAGGAAAATGTTGTTTAAAATTTCCTATTACAAAAGAATTTTCCCCAAAGTCCTTTCTCAAACAGGCACAGAATATTCTAAGATCACCTTCAAATTGTAGTGATTTAAATGATTCTGAATATGCAGAGAAAGAAAGAAAATGCGAACACAGGCTAGCAATGGAAAGCTAGAAATCGAGGTGTAGAATGCCCTCCCACCCAGGGCGAGTGACTTGCCTGCAGAGGCTGTGCCATCCTCCCCGATCCAGTGTTCAGGGCTTCATGCACCCAACTCTTTAATAAATAACAAGTGCCACAATCACAGGTTTTAGGATGACAGCAAACAGCAAAAGAGACCCGGGCTTTGCTTTCACAGAGCTTAGTGGGCAAGGCACAAAGTTTAGTCAATCAAACTGGCTGCGTTAAGAAGGAACGGTATGGGGTGCTCTAGGATTGAGATGATCTGTGGCTTGGTTTTTACCAATATTCTCCTTGTACTCACCTCAAATAATAGTGCAGTGGGAGATACTCCATCCCAGCATAACTTGGGTATGATTTCTGTAGCCAAGTAATTCTTAGCATCTTGGGAGGTGAAGCGTTTGGAGAAACATGTTTTTGTTTCTACTGTTCCCTGTCTTCCTCATCTTTCTGTCATATTCCCACCTATCCTTTAACACATGCACTGTTCAAATACTACTTTTCCAGTGAAATATCAGCATCACTGTCAATATCCTGATGACTTCCAGAAATACACATTCCGCTTCTCCCCTGAATTCCTGTGGCACCTTGTGCCTGCACTGTAGCACTTATATTGTGGAAGGAAATTTCTTTATCTGTTGGCTTTCCTCACCAGTCAGCGAACACCTCAGAATAAGGATTTGTAGCTGGGTTGTTTATGTTTTCAGTTCCAAGATCAATACTTTGCAAGTGATCAGTAATTGCTAAATGAATGAATGTACCAATATATGAGTCAGAAATCACATGGGCCCAGATTCTTTCTTCTAGCTCAGAGTAACTTGTCATTGAAATAGCAATATATTGTCAATTCTTTTGGTCCTTGGTGACAATTTTCCATTGATTCACATTTAATGGGAAAAGATATAAATACATTTTCCTGTTGGAACACTTATTTATAAATCAACTACAACTAGTTAGGGAAAGAAGACAAGAAGTCAGTTGGTAAAGACCTTTAATGCCAAAGCTAATATTTTATCCTGGGAAACAGAATCTACCTCATCCTTCATAATATTATCTCTAGGCTAAGGAATGAGGAATCAGGTCTTATAGGTCATGAGCAAGCCGGAACATGCAGGGAGTAAAAGAAGTGCGCTGGACCCAAGACCGTACCAAGGGCCTGAAGCTATGCAAACTGCCCAGAGAAGAAGCACCTCTTGATCTTGAAGATAAAAGCAAGACCATGAGTCAGAGTCAGGTGGCAGGAAGGAAGCTGGAACTAAGACAGGACTCAGGGTAAGCTGCAAGTCACACAAAAAAAACGAAAACATACATCTTGGTGCAGGAAGCTCAAAGCCCAGTGTTATAGCAATAAGGAAAACAATAGAGATCAGAGCAAAGAAACTGATCGGAAATTTAAGCAAGGACTCGGTAATGATAATCGTGACACAAGCTGATGAGTAGTGTTGAAGAAGATGCAGAATCACAGGAACCTCATGGGAGACCAGACATCCACACATCACTGCTAGAGGCTTTCCAGGATGGCATGAGCTGAGAGCTTCCTGTCATCTCTACTTTGGAGACATGCCATCCTTGCATTTCTCTTAGCTTCAGTTTTACTGTTCCTTGTTAATAGCAGCATTGTGATTTCTATCAAGAAAGGCTATCCTTAAGTTTCATAGACTGTCACAGCATTATCTAATCGGCTCCTCACCCTGTTTCCGGTAGGTTAGGAAAGTGTCTTTAAAACCACTTTATATGTCAAAGGACATGCATTTAGACTATAGGAAGAACTCATAATAAGACTAACAACTTAATAAAATGGGCAAAAGGCTTAAATTGACATTTTGCAAAAAAGATATATGAATGGCCAATAATTACATGAAGGTGGTCAACATCAGAAATCATCAGGAAAATGCTAATCAACACCTTCTTATAAAACCACTAGTAACACTTCATTCTCAATACCAAGGTGAGGATGAGAGACTGAAACGCTCACACATTGCTGGTGGTCATGTAAAATGGCACGACCACTTTGGACAACTGACCCAGCAATTTCATTCCTAGGTATTTACTGGGGAGAAATCAAAATAGAGACACAGAGGACTTGAACATAATTATTATTAGCAGCTTTATTCATAATAGCTCAAAACTGGAAACAACCCAAAGATCTATCAGTAGGTAAATAGATCAGTTGTAGCTTATGCATGCAATAGATATACTCGGCAACAAGAAGCAACCTATTGATTAAACACCATGGATGAATGTCAGAAACATTGTATTGAACCAAAGAAGCCAAACACACAAGAATTGATCTGTAACATTCCATTTATATGCTGCTCTAGGAGAGATGGGATTATGATGATAAAAATCAGAAAGTGGTTGCCTCAGTTTAGGGAAATTGACTTACTGGCTTTAGGGGAATTGACCTACTTGCTTAAGCAAATGGGCGAGCCAGTGCTTGAACTCAGGCAAACAGATGTCAGAGCTAGGGCCCCTTTGGCTACATCACTCTCCCAGCTTAGAAGGAAGGTGAGGAAGAATGAGGCACAGCAGCGAGGGAGCAGAAGGAAGGCAGGTATCAGGAGAAAGGAAGGGCTCTAGTCACCGAGGCCAATTTCTGTCCTGGGCGTGAGGCTCATAATGGCACCTGTCATGGAAAGAGGTTGTTTCCATCGTGGCCACCTGCAGGAGTAATTAGGAGGGCTTGACAGATGTAGGCGAGATAAGCATCATCATCCAACTGGCCTGCCAGTAGAGAAGGTATTAAAGTTATTCTCTTCTTGGTATCTACCTTGGGATTTTTATCACCAGCCTTGCCTCTCCTAGAGTTGTGTGTAAATGGAATGTTACAGATCAATTCTTGTGTGTTTAGCTGCTTTTGATCAACATAATGTTTCTGAGATTCATCCATGGTGTTGAATCAATAGTTTGTTTTTCGTTGCCGAGTAAATGATAATGTTGTTTTATTCTTAAGATCCTTTAAAAACTCTTCATGGCGTAATAGGTATCCACTGCAGAAAGAAAATATACATAAAAGAAGAAAAAAATAAAACCTCCTATGATCTTATTATCCCGTGATAATCTCTGATCTTTGTTATTGTTTTTCAGTAAATAAAACTTTACTTTAAACAAAAATGGGATCATACTATATGTGCTGTTTTATAATACGCCTTTAAAACACCATGTCAGTGAACATTTCTCTCCATCAGAGGCTATCATTTCTGTTGGATGCATCACATCCCATGGATGGAGATATCCAAATTCATTTAACCAAACCTCTACTGGTACATATTTAAGCTGTTTGCAGTTTTTAGTTACTACCTACTACCCTCTTACAAGAGAACATCTTGAACATAACACATTTGGTCATTTTTTCAGTATTTCCGCAAGGAAAGCTCTAAAAGTAGAAATTCTAGGTCAAAAGGTTTAGATATCCTTAAAGAATTTAATACATGTTGTCAATATTTGTTTTTTAAATGGTTTTCTCAATTTACATTCTCACCAGCAATGAATGAATGTGTTATTCTGTGTCACCTTAACAGGTGGACTTTAACTCTGGTCCCTGTGCTAAGTGCTACCTCTTCTCATTGAAACCTAATCTGTCAGGATTAGAAATTAACCTTTGATGCTGTCTAGCTCCGTCTCCCAAGCAATGCCTGAATTTCCTTTTGGATTCTGCTAGTTTGAAATGAAAACCATTTGTTTTAAAATGTTAATCTGAAAACATGATTGATGTTTAAATTTAGTAGAAAAATTGGAGGAGCCAGAAACAGTGATTATGGGGTCAGAATACCGGGATTTCAGTGCTGGCTGTGTCCCTGTCTGTAGCTGTGTAATCATAAGCTGACTTACCCTGCCTGGGTCTCTGTGTCCCCATCTCTAAGACAAGGGAATTGAGGAGGGCCCAATCCCTCTACCTTGTCTTTAGTTATGACATTCTGTAAATCTTCAGCTATGTAGAGCATTCCTTTCAAGGGTTGGGCTTGTAAATTAAGAGTGGCAGGCCTTTGAAATACAGCTTGTGTGGGAAAGGAAACACACCCAGCAGCTACTTTGCTGCTGGATCATAATTCTGTGTTCTTGGTGAATAAATTGCATCTTGGCTTCCGGATTGTTCCAGGTTGCCTCGGGTTTTACAGAAGTGGCTTTTTCAGAAATGGTTCCCATTGCCGGAAAGTGGGTGTTAATTTGTGCCTTGGCTATTTTTCAGGGCACATTCTGGCAAAATCCTGGCATGTTTTTCAGAGGATCAGCAGATGTAATGACCTGGGGTTTACTCTCCTTGCGAGAGGACACACGCTCTGTGTAAATACCCCAAATCAAGCCTATAGTCAGACCCCTAGCTTTTATGATGGAGCCCTTATCCTGGGCCCGCCAAGGGTTTTTGATCAAGTGAAGACACTCTGGGGCATGGACCACAGGAAACAGGGAAGCTGAATGCTTAGTCATGGTTAGCATTTCTGAATGAAGTATGCACTCTCCACTGAAATGGGATACAGGTGGTGTCCTGGAAGAGAAGATAAAGCTAATGGAAATGAAGAGAGAATAAAATAGAATAACATTGGTATCTAGTGCTCCACAGTTTGCAGCCTGCATTAACATACTTGATTTACTCTACATGATGTCCCTGGGATATCATCATTGCCATTTTGTCCCAATTCATCTGCCCAGCAAATGCAGGAGCTGGAGTGTTGGTGGTGAGTGGCCCAATGGCATCTGCGACAACCTCACGGCTTGGCTTCAGACGCCGTAGACCCCGGCTTCCTTGGTAGACGCTCATAGTCTCACACCTCCTTTCTCCTCTGTGACAATTGAAAAATTACCCTCCTTTCTTACTCTTTGAGTCCATGGTAATAAATTCAAGTCATTTGCCAATCTTCAGTATAATGCAATGGGAAAACACCGTCTAGTATTTCTAAGACTCTAATTTTTTAAAATAACTTCAACTTTTAGTTATTTGCACACCGTCTTCATAATTTATGCCATATCTGTGTACCACCTGTACTATTACTAACATGTGCTTTCAAACAAATTATAATTTCCTTTTTTTCTTGCTCTAAGAACTATAGTAACTGAAATAATTAATTTGATGTACCAGTTTCAGTTTTCTAATATATATAACTTAAAATTTTGTGTTCATTTTTTGTACTATATAATATATCTCACTTCTGCTCCCTTTGGGATACAAACTATACTCTGAGACACTAAAATGAAATAAAATGTTTAAGTCCTTTCCTTGGTTGAGTTAGCTGCATGCTAAATGTCCAGTTGACACATGTAGCTTAGCGGCTACCATATTGGGCAGGGCAGACTGAGAACCTTCCATCATCACGGGACATTCTATTGGACGAGCTCTGCCTGAGGTTTGTCTAGGGTATTTAAAGCAGAAGACATTTGACTGCTTTCATTAGCCTAAGCCAAACTAACGTATAAGATTATCAAAAGAAGGATGAATTAATTTACAGACTGCTAGCAAAAATGTCAGATAATAGTTTCTTTCACTGACCACTGTCCAAGTAAGCAGCAAGGTAAGTTGAAGCATCTGGTGTGATAATGGATCGCTTCAACCTGCTCTCAACCTGCTGTCTCTTCTTCCATCCCCACTGCTCCCACTCCTCCCTTCCCTCCTTCCCTGCCCATGTCTCTCTCTTCAGTGTGTGTGTGTGTATGTGTGTTCTCTTTCATGCTGCTGCTTCCTCTGGCTTCACCTCTGTCTCTTAACCTCACTTTCATTCTCGCCTTCAGTCCTTTATCTCCCTTCTGCCTTTGACCTTCCCAATCTCCCTCATTCAAAATCTTAGTATGTTTGGATTTGTTTTGTAAATTCTTCAAGTACAATAATTTCAGGCCGAAAGACATTCTCATTTGTAACGTGAATAACATGACATTCTCATTTGTAACGTGAATAATAATGCTCCCTAGCAGAATTCCACGAGATGCGCTGACTCTCACTGGCGTCTCGGTCCTGTGCTAATGCACATAAAACAACTGTTTCCTGCTCAAGCCCCTGCCTGTCTCTCGCTGATGTAACCATATCAAACTACCTGCTTTACTCCTCATCCAAAGTCTCCTTTAAAGAGCAAGCAAATTTGTTTTCTTTTCTTCTTTATTTTTTAATTATATTTGAAGTTCTGGGGTACCTGTGCAGAACGTGCAGGTGTGTTGCATAGGTATACACGTGCCATGGTGGTTGGCTGCACCCATCAACCTGTCATCTACATTAGGTATTTCTTCTAACCCTCCCCTAGGCGCCTACCCCGCTTCAGGCCCTGGTTTGTGATGAACAAGAAGAATTTTGACCATGCTTCTCTTCAGGCCTGTGGAAGAAGGCCCAAACCTTGCACTGTGGCATTGGTTACCTTCCTTGAGCAGATGAAAAGCCAAGCATTGCCTTGAAGGCTTGATGCCACTTCTGTTCAATCAGAACTCTCTCCAGAGCTGCAAGGATACTGGAGGTCCCCAGAGGGAGGGTAGTGCTGTGTAGACATATGTATGTTTCATCTGTTGGCCATGAATGTCAAGGAGGAGAACTGACTAGACTGCCTTCTCCTTGTTTTAATTATCCACAGATTCCAGAAAGGAAAGGCCAAGTGTACCCAAGAGCTCTCAGAAGTACAAGATGCTCTGGGGAACATACATGCATTGCTCGGTTCCAGAAAACAGACCCTTCCTTAGGAATACAAAGTTGAAAGTTTCCCTGACTTCTTGCAGGGAAACCTGTTCATACCCCCGCCACCTCCCCACCCCTTCTAAATGTATTCAATTAGGCTGTGGAAAATTTAATTCCTCTTGCTGATGTATACAAGAAGTTATGATACCTTGGAATCTTTCATCTGTCAGCTTTAAACCATTAAATATAGGATCCACTGTTCTCAGGAAAGTGATGTGATGATCTGCTCTGTTTCTCAGACAAAGGGAGGCATTTTTCCGAGAGTAGAAGTCCCTGCCTGGGTGGGAATGATAGAGACATCCTCTGGCTGGGGTTTGTATTCCTCCAGACTCTGAAAAGGAGAAAGAGATCCAAGTTTAAGTGACTTTAATCTTAGTAAAGTTTTAAAGTTTATGTTATCCTCTGGGTAATAAAACTATAATGATTTTTTGAGTGCTTGGAATTTGTGGAGCAATATGTTAGGTGCTGCCGTAAACACAATCTCATTAATCCTCTCAGCCCTGATAGGATGACTCTCCCCCTCCACTGTATTCTAATTGGAGGAATTTGAGTCTCAGAGAGGCAAATAATTTGTCAAAGGCAACACAGCCAATAAATTGTGAGAGCTCAGATTGAAATCCAGGACAGAGCTTTGTGGTCTTTAGACCCCATTGTTCGGTGTTGGTTTATTCAGCAAATGTTTGTGGATGGTTAATGTGACCAGGCACTTTTGCTCAGGGATTCCACAATGAACTATAAAGGCAAGAATCCCAATCTTATGGAGCATATGCCCCAGAAAGACAGGAAAACAGGAAGTTAAAAAATAATATGATATTTTTTAACAATGAATAAGATTGCATGATGATTTCAGATGTCAGTAAGGCCGTAAGAACAGTAGATGGAAGAAAGTAATAGTGAATGTGGGGCTGCTTTATGTTGGGGTCTCTTAGAAGGACTTTCTGGGATGACTTTTGAACTCAGACCTGAGTGATAGGAAGGATCCAGACTCTAGTGTTGGGTGCAGTGAAAACAGCAAGTGCAAAGGCCCTGGGGTAAGTGAGCGTCATGGCTTTCAGGAACAGCAAGACGGCCAGTTTCGCTGTGTAGCCAGTGGGGGTGAGTGACAATATAAGGTCAGAGATGCAGACAGGCTTTGGATTTTGTTCCAAGGTAATGGGACACCATAAAAGGGTTTGAAGCAGAAGTGGTATGTTGCCTGAATTAAGTTTTTTTTTTTTTTTTTTTTTTTTTTTTTTTTTTTTTTTTTTTTTTTTTTTTTTTTTTTTTTTCTTTTTTTTAAGATGGAATCTCACTCTGTCTCCCAGGCTGGAGTGCAGTGGCGTGATCTCAGCTCACGGCAGCCTCTGCCTCCCGGGTTCAAGCGATTCTCCTGCCTCAGCCTCCCAGGTAGCTGGGATTACAGGTGCATACTGGCACACCCAGCTAATTTTTGTATTTTTAGTAGAGACAGGGTTTCACCATGTTGGCCAGGTTGGTCTCAAACTCCTGGCCTCAAGTGATTCAACTGCCTCAGCTTCCCAAAGTGCTGGGATGACAGGCATGAACCACCATGCCTGGCCTGAATTAAGTGTTAAAGATAACTCTGGTATCTGTGTGTGGAATAGAGTGTACAGTAGCAAGACAGGAAGTGGTAGAAATGGTTAGAAGAACACGAACTTCAGAAGCTGGGGGTTTTGAAGGAGAAGGATAGTGCTTTGGAAAGAGCAAGTGGGGAGAGTTGGCAAGAAAAGACTATCCTACCTCCAGGCCCTGGGTGTGAGGAGGGATCCTCAGGGGCCAGCCAGGTCCAGGGAGTGGGCAGAAAGGAAGGAAACATTCAGAAAAGATGATGTAACTCTGAGGGAGTTCCCTGCAGCGGCAGTGGTGGCAAATCATAGGATAGCAAGTTTTTATTGAACATGTATTGTCGGTCTAGCAGGATTCTAAGCGCCTTTCCCACAATAACTTGTTTAGTCCTGTTGGTAATCCTAAACTGTGGACACTATTAATGGCCGCATATCACATAGGAAACTGACACGGTTAACAAACCTGCAGCGAGTAAGCAATATGGCCTGGTTGGCATTACTAATTTCAGAAGTCCGAGTGGAAAGTGGAGGGGTTGTCAGGGAGGGATGGAGCGTGCCCTCACTAAGGGAGGGGTCGACCGGTCTAGAGATGAGACCCAGATGGCAAACGTGACCTGGGAGGTTGTGATGGAGGTAAAGCTTGCTCTGTGATGCCATTTGCCCTGAATGACGCTAGAGGAAGTTTCCCCATCAGTTCAGACCAGAAGCTTGGAGCCTAGGAGTGAATGCTGTTTCTTGAAGCTTCCTGTGGGGTGGGGCCCAGGGCCGCCTCCTTGGGATTGCTTTCTTAGGCAGCTTGTGGGGCAAGAAGAGTTTTATCTAAACAAGGCAGTGTCTGGACTCCTTTTATCCCACTGCCCTTGAGTTGGAGAATGTTCATATTTACACGTTTCTGGGATGTTTTACTGCGATTTTCATTTGGAGATAATAATAGGGAACATTCATTAGGCACTTACAATGTGTCAGGTTCTATGCTGAGCACTTGACATATAGTATTCCCTCAGTAAACACGACAGTCTTATGACAGCTGCTATTCTTGCTCCCCTTTTTCTGATGGATTAACTGAATTCTAAATAGGTTACATCATTTGCCCAAAGTGCTATATAGTAAGTGGTGGACCTGAGATTTAAACCTTACAACCTGATACCAGAGATTATATCCTCACTCTGCCGTAAGTGAGGAAGATATGTTTGCTAGGTTAGGAGCAATGCTGCCCAAGAAGTCTCTGTAAGTCCCAAAAGAATGGGTGATGTAAAGTCTCTGTAAATCCCAAAAGAATGGGTGGTCCTCTTCAACACAAAGTTTGAAGAGGAACCTTGAGAATGAATGGCTAACGTCTTCCTTCCATGACCATACTGATTTTGAAATGTTGGTGGATCAACTACCAACATCAGCGATGCACCTGAAGATAATGGACTCGGGAGAAGACAAGGGTGAGAAAGGGAAATTGTTGTGAATAGAGAAAAGGAAATTATTGGTTTACTTAACTTGTCTTCCACTACTTTACCTAAAAGTAACAGTACACAAATAATACTTTCTCCCCCTTTTAATTCCACAAAATGAACGCCTAACAAAACTGCCTACTTCCCCACTCTCCCTGCAGACAAGAAAAATGGTGGGATTATGGATAATTTTTTGGTAAGATGTTTTAGTATTCCATTATTTTAAAAGATAACAAATATACAGACTGTTTTTAAAAGAAATTGTCTAAATAAATGAAATAAGATTCTTTAGGCATCATATTTAATTGAATTCATTTCATCACTTAAAAAAATATTTTTTCTTTGACATTCATCTATTCCTATCCAAAAGCATGGGTGGATGATTGGATCTCAGTTTTCCTAGGCTCCAAGATCCTGGCTGAGTTACTTTTTAATTACTTGTCTGTGTTTCTGCAACTTGAAAATACCTAGACTTCCAAGACAACCAAACTACTATGGAAGAGCCATGAATTTCCCTGCCAAATGGCCATGAGTAAGAAGATGACCTCTCAGGTTGCTCTCAGTTCCTCATTTGTGTTCTAAAAGAATTCCTTAACCTGTAGATCAAATTTGGTTTTTGTTTTGGTTTTTTTGTTGACTCACCCGGTGGATCAGATTTTGCTGTCACTAAAAGTTTCTTTAAGCTCCTTGAAGAAAAAAGTTATGAATAATAGGCATGTGTTTACTCATTTTGCAAATGTATGTTGAGGGCCTACTGTGTTCCAGACTCCAGATGCCAAAATGAATAAGCTGGTATCCTTCTTCTTAAGGGTTCGTTGTTTCAAGAAATTATTATAAAAATTGGTGAGGGACAAATACAGTCACCTGTGTGGTGAGCCAGTCTGTGTCCCTTTGTGTAAAACATTCCTTGAAAGTTAAAGGCCTAATGTCTTGAACATACTCATATAAAATATTCATCATCAGCTCACCGTTACAGTTTTTCACCCTTTTACATCTGATGTGAACCTGGGCTTTGCACCTCATGGAGGCATATACCTGCTCTGTAAGATGAAGTGATATTACCCAGAGAGACCACCTAGCTGGAAAGTGGCAGAGCCTGGCCTTGAACTTCGAATTCCTACTTCAGGGTACTTTCTTCTGTCTAAAATAAAATCCTCCATGTTATCTGTGTACTTTACTTACCTTTCCAAGTGTCACTACTATTAATATTATTCTTACAACGAAGTTATTTAGCCCACATGTTTTACTGTAGTGACACGGTAGAGGCAAAGTCAAAGCTGTCCTTTGGGCTGTCTCCCCAGTCCAGAACATGCACAGTTGCGGACAGATCATAGAAGACAGCTTCTCTTTGAAGGTATGGGGTTAGGAGTGGGGATGAGGGAAGTCCAGGACAATAAGAGGAACACACAAGTGCTGATTGAGTGTTTGGAAAAGTGAGAAAGGGAAAATCATCGATTGAAAGAGATGTATTCAGAATTTCGTACTTAAGTATGACCAATTCCGAATGTCATGGTTGTCACCTAATGTGTGCTCAGTAAACACATGTTGACTGAATGAATAAATGTGGGGTGAAGAAATACAAAGCAAGGAGAGCAAGCCAACCCAGAATCTCCCTTGACTTTCTGTGAACCTCCTAGAATAGATGATTTAACACCTGTATGTCTCTAGGTAGAACTGAAGGGTGTCAGTGGCAGAGTTTATGGATATCTACCTTTAGATATTTAGAAAAGGAGTAGGTTTTGTATACCTGGAAGATGAAAGGGAGGATTTAGTAAGTTCAAAAGAGAAAGACTTTGGGACCAGCAACTTAATGAGACTCCAGCCTGAACCATGGAAAGGAGGCAGCCAAGCCTGTCTAGATGCCTCCCTGGCACGACATCAACGCACATGTGCCCGCCACACTGAGGGTCATGCCTGGTTATCTGGCACGTTATGGAAACAAAAGAGTCAACCCTTTGGGATAAGTCAGTGTTAGCTCATGTTGCTTCATTTTTGGAGATGAGTAAAAAGATGTGATGACTGCAGCAGCTTCCTATAACTTCTGTAATCAAGTACCACAAACTCAGTGGCTTGAAACAACAGAAATCAATTCTCTCACAGTTCTGGAAACTTTACATCAAGAATCAAGGCCAACAGGTTTGTGCTCCCTTCTGAGGCTCCAAGGGATACTCATTCCTGGTCTCTTCCGGTTTCTGTGGACTCCAGGCTGGTCTCTTCCGGTTTCTGTGGACATTCCTTGACCCCTGGCTGCATCCCTCCAGCCTCTGCCTCCATCATCACATGGACTTCTCTTCTCTCTGTTTTTATCTTCTGTGTTTCTCTCA